TTAGCATTTCTGGTTGGGGGAAGGGAGAGACTTTTACCTGAAAACCTCATTATGCACAGTCCTCTGATGAGGCACAAGCATCTCAACTCACTTTTTTTTGCATTAGGCAGTTATCACACGAACAAAAACAAACAAGCAAATATGACAACGTCAGCATTTTGCAATGCTAATGACAATTATGTGGCAGTTCTTCATAACTTAAAAATTGAATAGGCTGAGTACTTCCTCCTGCCAAAGAATGACATGGAAGAAGATTATTGTTCTTCTTGAGTCTTGATAACTCACATTAAACACCTGCTGATTGTCTTGTACTTGTTGAAGTAAAATCCCTGCTAGCTACCCTCTCCAGCTGAGTTAATAATTATCTTGGAAGTCATGAGCTTTTGTTAATGAGACCCAGTATTGTGCTTTTAATTCAGGAAGGTGGTCCTCACAGATGTATTCTGAAAAGATTCAAGAAATACACCTTCTGCAATTAAGTGTTACAGTTCAATTCATAGCAGGACTGATTGTCTCAAGGCAAAAGTACTTTTGTCACCATCATTGAGGTCTACTGGACTGATGCTGTGTTTAGCCGAAACTTGCATGGTAGGTATCTTCTCCATGCTTTCTCCATGGTCATAAAAAGGAGAAATTCTCATATCTAACATTCCATCTGTTGTATGTTAACAGTCAGTGTTGACCTTGGTTTTCACCAAGAAGGTCCACTGCTATGGAAATCTCTGTAGATGATCTTTGGACTTGAACAGAAACATGAATATCTCTCAGTCCTGTGGGAAAGGGAGTGTTAATGTCTATAGATTAAACCTACTGAAGTAGATCCTGCAGAAGTGGAAATTGTTTTACTTGGATTTTGTAAGTTCTGTTATTACCCTGAATTTTTCATACTCTGCAGAAGGAGATACTTTTATGCGTTTTTCTCAAAAAATACTTGTCTGAGGTAAGTACAGGGAATTTGAGGAGGCCTTGTCCTGATCCATCCGGCTGAAGGAAGCACTGTAAAGGATGTGTCAATGTTGTTACTCTAGCAAAGATGTTTTCAGACATATACCTCTATGCATATTGGCTGGCATATTTCAGTTGAGTGATAAACTTACATTAGGCTGTAAGAAAACAGCAGCGATGCTTAGGATTTCACCATGAAAGTGGTATATAAACGTCATGTTATTCTTGTCTGTTGCATTCAAACACTATTAGACAGGTCATCACTTTCCTTTTAAGACATTCCACCCTTGCCGAATGAACCAACTCCTTGTATGTTTGCTCGGAGAGTCCAAATTCAGCTGCTTTCATGGTCATATTCCAGCTTTGGGAGGTCCTGTCCTCCCTTTGGGCTGTCTTGTCACAGCATGAGCAGCAGTGTCTAACCAGAAGTACAGAGGGGAAAGTAGCTGCCCAGTCTGTCTCAGCTTGCACATGATCAAGCAGGAGCTTGTCTGTGGCAGTTGGGTCTGGATATCAAACTTGGCAGGTAGACTGAAGAAGGTGTTCAGCATTTAGGAAAGCACATGCTGACCAAGTAGCTGTTCCTCATCTCCTTTAGGAAGCTATAATTTTGTTCCTTAATATTTCCTCATCTTGATTACTAGAAGACTCACCTCCTGTTTGGTTTTTGGTGGCACATCATGGCAAGCATATATTGAGACAGTCTGTCATTCATCTGTTTCACCTTTATACTCTGGTTTTTTCCCCCTAACACATCCTCTGCAGGTCTCTAAACAAAAGAAACTCACTGGTCCTAATTTTCAGCCTCTCTCCTGCAAGCTCTCCTGTGTCTTGCACATCTGCCTTTCACATTTCCAGAGATACCAGCTGTGAATTAGCTTTCGTATCTTTGTCCTATGAACGTCCCAACCTCCCTTCCCTCCCTGGTTACTTTTCACTGTAATTTCCAGCTGCTTAAAGGTTTTGCTGAGAATTATGGTAATGTTTGAATCAAAATTGCCTTGGTTAGTGGGGCCCCTAAGTGCTGATGTGATACTGTCCTGATGGAAATGGTATTTGCAGAGCGATGTGCTGAACGACCCCCTCTGGTCCTCCCCATTTTTGTCTGGGAACAGTTTTGAACTGGCAGCAGTTTCTTGGTTTGTTTTAGTGCGTTGTCATGGTGGGTTATTCCTGTAGGGCAGAGGAAATTTTTGCAGCTCTTTTACCTTGTTTGTAGCAGGAACTTGAAAAGCCAGGCTGGGGTCAGGCTGATACAGCAGAGGAGAAGGGTCAGCTGGGGTGTGGATTTACAGTTAGGGAAATAATCACATTACGGGTGTGGGTGAGGCTTAATTAATTAATTACATTCCTGCAAAAGAGAACTTCAGCTCCCATGCCTGGCACTCGGAGCTTATTGAGCAGAGCTGCAGCCAGTAATTTTCAAGTTTTGAGTGTCAGTCAGAGAGAAAGGCTTAGCTGGTACATAAAATTTTTCTCTCCGGGAACTTAAAGTTTTAGACTGAGTAGAACTGGCTAACTTGAGGCCTTCTATGTTAATTTTTGTTAATTAACTGGCATTTTGTGTTGTAGGCATTACTGTTTTCAGTTAGCTGTCAGCAAATTTTTTCAGTGCAACTTTAGTTTTATTGAATAGATTTCCCACAAGTTTTGGCTTGCAAATGCATGCACTTATTTACTGCCACAACACCATATTAGTCAGGATTTCAGCAGTAACCCTTCAAACTGTGAGACTGTATTGGTAAGACAGGAAGATGTTTCGCTTTTTGAGCGGTCTTGACTTAAGTAGGCTTTTTCCTCATAGTTGCTTGACTGTTTATACCATTCTGGTTTTCAGAGATTTTATTATCATTATTAGTTGCAAATTCTTTATCTCATGTGCATGCCTTTTTTGTAGATTACCACTAGCAGGTTGAAACAAAAAATACCTTTTTAAAAAAATAAATGTTCTAGATCTGCTCAGAAAACAAAGTATTCCAAATCTTGCTAATATTTTTTATGTAAGAACATTACCTGCTAAAAAAAGGCATTTTTTAAATTTTTTTTTAGCTCAGATTAGTGTGTCTCTGACTTTTTCTATGCAGTACAACAACTGCTTGGCATCCTTGATTATTTCATCTGTGGAGTCAGGAGAAATCTCAAAAATGGTTGTTCTTTGTTAACATGTGCTCTGGTTAACTTGGCCAGTTGCACGGGAGTAGAACAGAAATGGAGAGGATCAGCCTCTAAGTGGGGTAAAAGTTGTTTATTCCTGAAAATCCGTAATAGGAGAATTGGCAGAACTGGCTTTTTGTTTGCTTCGGGAGCTCTGAAGTTCTCCTGGAGCAGTGGAGAGGCTGAGGTCTCTGGTGATGCGACTCTCACAGAGTGGAAAGGCAGATTCACAGCCATGTGTGCAGCCTTTCAGTGTCATAAATGCTGTTTTGGGAAGTGTTGCTAGTGGGAACTGAATGGCTGACTACACTGGTAATGAGCTGCAGGTCCTCTGCCTGCACCCCCTTGCTGGTGACTGCCAGATGGCATATGGGTGGCTTTGCAGGATCCCTGTCCGGTACTCCACAGACAGTCATCTCCATCACAAGATGCTGATCCCAGCAACTGCTAATTACCAAACTCTGATAGTCTTAGGAAATAGGCCTGAGGCTGATATGTGTTGTTAGGGGAGGACAGGCATCACTTTCCAAATGGGTTATGGGCTGTTTCGGGGGATGTGACATTGCCATACCATTTGTTTTTCTGTAAATAAGTCATTTCAGTCCCTGTCAGGGCTGTCAGTCTGCTCCCTCCCATCAGTGTTTTGAAGTACAGTTAGGTAGAAGAAATGGAAAATGTCTTTTACCTTCCTTATAGAAAATGTGGATTTTCTGCTGATTTCACTATTAAATTGGAGTTACCCTAAGTTTAGGCTTCTTGTAGCAAGGATGGGACAATGCCAAGGGACATTATTCCCTGAAAATTTTGTTTTGCCTAAGGATTGGAATCAGGACTATATGATTTGAAAGGGAACACAGAAATTTATAAGGAAAAATAGAACATCAAGAAGTTAACCAATCGGTATGAGCAGAGAAGGATATGTAATATCTTGGCTCACTGTCATCAAAAATCGCTACTGTAGGATTTGGCATGTTAGCATATGTAGCTGAAAATGAAATTTGAACTTCTTTCATGCAAACAGAAATAACTTTCTGCCTTATTTCATTCTCATTAAAAAATGCAATCGAAATATTGAGGGAGAAGTTTGAAACATATTGATTTCATTTTGAGGGCATATTATTAAATCTCTTGAGGGCTTGTTGATCTTGAATCATTTCATTTTCATAGTGTCTCAGATTGAAAATTATTAGTAATTCTGTTTAAGTTGCAGCTAAATTACTAATTAAGTTTCATCTCAAGGATTTTATTTCTTATGTGTTTCTGGCAACACAGTGCACTCTTCACACAATGCAACAGAAACTTTTTGTTACCTGCCTTTCCGTGCCCCTTACAATCATATAAAGCAGGTTTGGAATTAATGAGCTGTCACATCTTGGGTAATCAATGAAAAGAACTGACAGAAATCCTTTTGTTGTTTAAGAAATTCCAAATAATTAATGGGAAAAAAGTGACAGAGGTTCTTTTAGGTTTTAAGAGGAAATGCATCTTTAAAATTCTTTGCATGATTGAAGAAACTATAAAATATTTTTGCAAAAAAGCAGACATCCTGCTTAATGGGTTAATTCCAGTTCTGTCTGCTGAGATAAACTTGCAGAATTTGAGATAAAAATTTTTGAGCTATTTTTTTGTGAAATAGCTTCCTAGTCTGCAGGTTCCCCATTCCAGACACATCTCAAGAGTGAAAAAATCTTCTGGATTCCTGGATTTGATGTTGTGGAAAAATTTGCATTAAGCACTGAGCATGTTTATAGTGAGCATGTCTTGCATACACAGAAGATTTTGTAAGCTGCAGGTTGGTTTTGGAGAGGGCAGGGTGTTTCCTTATGGTTTACAGGTCTTTTCAAATTTATGAAGTCCCATTGTAGCTGTTCAGAATGACCTCTACTGCTGTTCTTTTTCAGGTAACCATCTCAGATGGGGGCACATCTCCCAAGCAATCTTCAGTTTGGGTGGTGGTCCAGGTTCTGGATGAGAATGATAACAAGCCACAGTTTCCAGAGAAAGTCTATCAGATCAAGCTGCCAGAGAGGGACCGTAAGAAAAGAGGAGAGCCGATCTACAGAGCTTTTGCTTTTGACAAAGATGAAGGCCCTAATGCAGAAATCTCATACAGCATTGTGGATGGAAACGATGATGGGAAGTTTTTTATTGATCCCAAAACAGGGATGGTTTCTTCCAGAAAGCAGTTCACAGCGGGGAGTTACGACATCTTAACAGTAAGCACTCTTTCACTGACCTACAAAACCATGATCAGACCAATTTTTTTTTTAGAAACAGGCCCTCCTGTATAAAGAGTTATGTATGACTGTGTTTACTGCATGACCTATATGTAAGACCTGACTGTATTAAGAAATCTCGTATTCACATACAACTACTGCCAAAAGAGTTGAGTCTGAGAGATGATTCATGCTGTTGCAGGTAGTGGACTATTCTCAGTGTTAAGTCAACTTGCAAATTGTTGGCATAAGTCATTCCCTTGAATACACAGAAATGAAGACCGAGCACTTGTCTGCTCACACAGTTGTATCAGGTTGGACTGGGTAGGGGTAGCTATGAATGAGTATTCAGTTTTTGTGTGGACATTATTGTTCACCCTCATGGGAAGGTCTTTATACTGTCCAAGTTAGGTGGCTTCAGGATGGAGTCTTGTGCACTCTGTGTTGTAGTACTCTTTTCACCGCAAGAGTGTAAGTATGGTAGCAATTTCAGTTAAAATAAATCTCAGTCAAAACTCTTCTGCCAGAACTCAAACCACATAGTCAAAGTCAAAGAAAAGGAGAATACAATATGGTGAGGTTGATATAAAGCAATATAATACTTGAATGTTCACACTTCATTTACTGCAGTAGGCCAACAAGTTGTAGTTAAGGAGTTGGAAAAAAAAAAGTCAAAGGTCTGTGGTCTGGCCCATAGGAAAGGAAGTGATGCCTCTTACAGTAACAGGTGTCTGTTGGGATACCGTCATAATATTAGAAACTGTGACAGGAAAATGAATAAATAACAATCAGAGTAATCAGAGTAGAGCAGCCTGTGAGTGAGTGAGTACTTTTCCCTGTGGAGAGCTCAAAGTCATATCCGAGATCTGACCTTTATTATAATACAACAACTGAAGATTTTCTACCTTGAAACTGCTCATCACACCCTCAGCATCTTTTCACTAAAGGCCTGCCTGCCTGGAATGGAGCAGGTTGGTGAGTGTTAGCATCAAACCCACTTAACACATTTCCAGAGGAAGAAATAGTGTATGGTATTTTAGAATAAAAAAGGAAAAGTCCCATTTTTAATAGATACAGTAGCAGCATATTTACACCAATGGTCCTATATAGCCAGAAACATTTCTTTTAGTTTTTAAAGAAAAGCCCTATGACTAACATTGATGTTATCCACCAAAGCACCTGTTTTGTAACCTGCATTCACCCTTTTCTTAAGCCCAGTGTTTGTTGCTGCCCATTTTGTCTTTGCTGTGCTAAAACCATAAAGCATGCCAGGCAAATATCAAGTCTATCCATCTATCTAGAGGTCCTTATAATAAAAACAATTAGCACCAAGCAGAGCAACTCTTAATGAACATGACAGACAGGAGAAGTTAAAATAAATTAAAATAAAATAAGGCAAAATTTTAAATTGCATTTGTTATGGAGAACAGGGGAAATTACCTGAAACTTATTTAACTTAAAGATCCTGAGGAATGCAATGTAAGGAATACCCGTCTTATCTGCAACATAGGTGCCATTTAAAAGCAATCAAAAATGGTTTGGGTGAGCATGTTTTGCAAATGCATGGTGTCCCACAGAGTCATTACAAAGCTCCCAGCTTTGCTGCAAGAGAGAGCTGGGTGCAAGATGGATTGGAGAGGGTAGCTGGTACTGGAGAGGAGGATCTGTGCAGGGAACACTCGAACCATATCTCTAGGAGACCTCACAACAGCATTTCTAAACCAAAACATTTCAGTTTAAAGTCAGGGGTTTTTTGGTGGAAAGTCAAAGTGTAATTGAAAAAAATGGGAACTGAGAAATAAGTGCTTATCGTCCTCTTTTCATGGGATTCTGCATGTAGGGTTACAAAGGTGATTTTCCAAGCAGGTCATCATCATGTGATAGAATTAGGTCTGAACTGCCAAGCTGGGATGCTCAGCCTGAGCCCTCTTTCCTTTGTACCTGCCAGATAAAAGCAGTGGACAATGGCCGGCCCCAAAAATCTTCAACCGCGCGTCTCCATATTGAGTGGATAAAAAAGCCTGCACCCTCGCCCGTGCCCCTGACTTTCGATGAACCTTTTTACAACTTCACCATCATGGAAAGCGATAAAGTGACAGAGATCGTTGGGGTGGTCTCTGTGCAGCCATCTAACATTCCTCTCTGGTTTGATATTGTCGGTAAGTTGGGAGCCAGTGGTGCGAGGAGGATGCTTCGGAAGCAAAGCGTATGGACGTGTGGTTCTGAGAGCAAGAATACTAACTGTGAACTGTCCCCTCGCCCCAATTAAATCCTCTTTCGTAATGATGAAATGAAAATGCTATTTTAATATAGTGATAACAACAATAATAATATTCCTGCTTTTGTTATGACTAGCTAAGCTGAAAAAGAGCGCTGTATGGCTGAATTGTTTTTTTTTCATACTATGTTATTTACTGCAATCTTAATGTTGTCTGTCATTTGAATTCTATTGTCATACTTTGCTAATCTCATTTCTAAATGTATTTATGGTACTTAGACTTGCTGTCCCTCATTTCTCTCTTTCTTCACCTTTTTTCTGCATTCTGTTCTTTTTTTTCTGCTTCCGACTGCCCTGCTTCAAGGTGGCAAGCATGCTCGAGAGATGTTCTATATTCTACAGACAGCTTGTGGGCAGAACTGTTCAACAGAAGGTACCCTTAGTGCAAACACATTTGCTAAAATACAACTATCCAGGCTGCCTTTTATTTTTGCAAGTTCTTTGAGACAATTTATATTACATCTTTCATGAGTGCCTGTGACAGGATGCGATGCGACACATGGATGTGCTGCATTTCTTTCTATGACAGCTTTTACCGTATTTGTGTCCAATTATTATCATTTTATTCACGGATTTTCCACAGTTTATCACAAATAATTAATTCAAACTTTTCACAGTCCAGTGCCATCCATTTAACTGTGAAACAGAATGGGATGCCTCAACATATGGGTTACAAATGGAGCCACCAAAAGTTTGTCTTGAATGCAAGCTGAAAAAGAGAAATGTGTTTTGATGTGAGATTTCAACCACAAAATCGTCTTACATAAAGTTGCTTATAAAAATAGAGAGGGAGGAATATCCATAGTGAAGGAGGAAAAGCCACAGAAGTCTTCAAATCACAGGAAAATGCCACTAGATGCCTAAACAACAGGGAGTAAAAGGTCTCACTTGGTTGCAGCAGAGAAACTGGAGTCATGTTCCTCAGCATTTCTTACCCACTTCTGCTCCTGATTCAGTTATGTCATAGAAAAGAACTCATTTAACATCTCCAAAGTGAAAATTTCCCCTGGAAAATCATTGTGCTTCTGAACAGTTGCAGGTGCTTGTATGTAAAGTTTGTGTACCCTTGGATGTAAAAAGCCATGTCTGCACAAAGTGGCATTATTTAAATGAAGGGTTATAAAGCACATACTGTATGAAAGATTAGAGAAACAAAAAGCCTTTGCCACAGACTTAGTGGAAAGTGTGCATCAGCAGTCTTTATTTACAGAGACTGAGCCCGGCTCTCCTTTCAGCACAGCTCTTTGCAAACAGGTTTAGCCAACAGGAAGGACAGGGACCAAAAGAGAAAGGGTCTGTCAGAGTCATTTTTATCTATCTTTTATTGCCAGTTTGTGCAGATGAAAGACAGAAACAGCAACATTTCCTCTTTGAATTCCTTGCACAGTTTCTGATGTGCCAACCATATTAAAATTAAACCCAAAGCTATTATCATGTTCTTGGGTTCCTGCTAGTCCCTGGGGAAGGATAGCATATGTTTCCTACAGTTTTCCTCCCATTTCCTCAGTTGTTGCAGTATGCTACATGCAGTTTATTAGCTGATGTTTACATTTCCATTCCCTTCCTTGCTCTCCATAGCTTTCGTCCCAGGAGAAATCCATCTTTTCTGATGTTATTAACACTTTTTTTCCTATTTGAACCTTTTGGTCCTTTCCTTGGCAAATTCACCGACTCTCATTAAAATGCTGCCTGTGTTAAGCCCTGAGAGAACCCCCTGCTCTTCCTCTGCATTCTTTTACATTATTAGAGTCATTTGCAATCAAGGAACACTTTATAATAATATTTCATTTTTGCCTACCAAACAGAGATGATGGGGAGAGCATTGTGAAATTAAACCTTTAATTTGTCATTTAATGTCATCCTTCTGCCTAAACTAGTTCAAATGGTTTAGTAGATTTTTCCTGTTTAAACAATTGTGATGACTTCCCTACAGAATGTAGCTTCTGATGCTGCAAGATGCTGCATCACTGCAGAGGGTCACTGAGACAGGGCTTCCCTAGATTTAATGAGAAATCAGTGACCTTGGCCATCCAGTTCAGTATTGTTACCGTTTGAATTTTGTCATTAAATATTACTGCTGTTATAAATAACAGCACAAGCAACAGCACCCATTCTTCAATAGGAATAGCCAACAATCCTGGGCATGCAGAAGACCCTCTTGTTCCAGACGCCCTGCATACAAGGTGCAAAGACAAAACTCACCCTGAGAGTTTTACAGACAGAACACTGTATATTTACATTATCTTTGCTGCCTTTAGTTAGTGTCAGAATCAAAACCCACTTTTTCTCATTTTTCTTCCATATCATCATGAGGAAAAAAACCAGATATTGATACTTTCCTTTTGGGGAAGCATTGAAGTCTAGTGCTGGAAAGCCCAATGAAAACAAGGGGTATTAGCAGAAGTTACTTGCCATATATGAAAAGCTGTATGGGACTGCTGATGCAAAAGATGGTTTTTGTACTGCTGTAAAACCTAGATCTGATCCTGCTCCATCTGGTATTTTGTGATTTTGGACCTTCGTGCATAGTTCACAGTAATGTCAACAAAAACCCTGAAGGCTTATATAGAGGCATGGTTTAATATAGAGTTTGCAGCTTGACCTTTATCTTTATGACCTTTTCAAACTAAATGGGCATTGGAATTCCAGAGGATCTCTTTTTTAATGCATAACATGCACTTTCTCCCAGCTAAAAAACAAGAAGAGCCAGGGCAGATGAAGTTTGACTATATGGTATTCTGACTGCCTAACTTTGCACCTAAGTTATATACACTTTTAATAACTATTTAAGTTCTTGACTTAATCAGCTCCAATAGAGGAAGGTGCGTTGCAGACAGGGATGTCATCTTCCTTCATGGACTAGAGAGAACAGGATGTTTAGCTGTTTGTTTGTTTAATTTGGAATGGTTGAGATGTCATATCTGGTTTCTGTTTTCAGACTGCATTCAACGCCATTCTCAGTTCATGCAGATCCCACAATATGAAAGACATAAACATACGTTGTTTCAGTGTGTTAAATTTATTCAGTCATTTATGAGAAACTAGTTTTCAATGGGAACTCCAAGATAAGTCAGAGGCCTTTATTTCTTCCAGGTAAATTGAGCCCTCTCTGTCTCTTCTTTTGTTAGTGGTGGGAATGGTGTGATGATTACGTTGACACTGGAGCTAAGCTGCATGGTGCTAGTTTTTGCTTAAGTAGCATGTTGCACAGCATCAATTTGGTTCTCCAAACAGTCCTCGCTCTATCTTTCCTTCTTCCCCCAGCCTGTGCCTTTATAAGAGTAGACAAACCTTGAAAGCACATCTGAATTCTTTATCAAGGGTGCTTAAATGGCAATAATTTTGGTATCTATTAATTTTAATCAATTGTCCATTTAATTTCACAGTGCTGCAAATTTTCTTTCATGTCAAAAACATGTAGCTCCCGAGCCTCCTTTGAATTATCTTCTCTGAGAACTATCTAAAATACCTTTTTGATTTGTTTTCTGCTTTTTATGCCCTTGCTTTCAGCTTCTTAGCAGCAAACGCAAGGCTTTGTCTCTCCTTACGATAGTTTTATCTTGAAATTCAGAGTCCACATTACTTTCTTCTTCTTAGCATGATGTAGTAGATAACAGAATAAATATTTGCATGTCATATTACTAATGTTTACTATGTTATGATTAACAAAAGTCTGTAGTTGAATTTTTATTTCTTGACACAGTCATTAGGTTTATTTCATCTTCCTTGAAAACAAAAGAAATGGAAATTTTGGCTTTGCTGCTTTTTCTGAAAATCCTAGAGGCACTTTGCACTCACCTCTGAGTTGCAGGGTGAATTTGTTTTCTGTGTTTTACTTTGAGCAATGCAAGGATTGTAGCAGTTGGCCCAATTTATCACCACTGTTCTTGCTGTTCTTAGCTTACTTTGGGACGAGTAATATTCTCTGCCCTGAGAAAATGTGGTTTAGAGGAGTATTCTCTAAATTAGATCATCTTCTGTACTTCTCATTTTCTCCACTTGTCCAGCATGGCATGGTAGGCCAAATGAGTCTTGTGTGAGGATCTCTGTGTGCTGTGGCTCTCTTAATTTGACCATGGAGCATGTATGCTGTTTGCTATCTACCAGTGAAGGAAGACTCTTGCCAGATTTTAGCTGTGTTTGATTTGAGGATGTCCTCCAGAGTTTAGTGTGATCCATCTTTGCATGCAAGACTGAACAGTCATCAGATGTTTCTGAGATGTGTATTCAATCCCACTCTTCTGGGTCATTCCACTGGAAAAGGTAGAAAAAGGTCCTCACATGGGACTCATTTGCCTGCAAGTCCTCCAGATTTTGCTGACAGGTTTTCTTCTCAAAGGAGCAAATAATTTCTCACAGCAACATTATCCCATTTTAAACTGTGTATCAGCAGCTGATAGGAGCATAGGGAGGCTCAGCATCTTCCCAAAAAGGAACCACATCTAGGAAAAGCACTACCAAAAAATTAATTGCTTGAAGCAAAATGCAATATAAGCAGAATATGCTTAAAAGTTAAAACCTCAACACTGAAATTCTAAAGGGACAGAGATGCAGAGCCCATGTTCTGTGGGAATGCAAGGTCTGCACTGTATCTTGCCTTTGGCAAATTCTCCAGCTGACCTCTAGAAACCCCTTTTAACAGTTCCGGAAGTTTTCCTTGGCCTCTCTGTTGTACCTCTCTTATTAGTATTGCAAGGTTCAATGGTTTGGGTTTTTTTAGATATCTTTTTTATTAAAAAGAAAATTAATTCTTTCCAAAGCATACAGGACTTTTGTTAGAAGAAAAAATACGTTCATAGTGACTACGAAGCCAATAAATAAGCTAAGAATGAAGTTAACGCTCCAGATTCATCCGGAAGATGTAACCAATCCTACTCTATACCAAGGGCATAACCTACAGTCTGTTGGCTCAGAGGTTTCTCAGTTCTATTTTCTGAGATCTCCTTCTTAACTGTACTATACCATCTGTTAAATTGAAAATTAGGGCTGTTCTTGAAAGCTGTAGTAAGGGCCAGCTAGTAAGATCTTTGGTAATGGAGGCTATTTCTACAGCTGTCCTGATAACAGCTGGAATTGGAAAATCCTATATGAAATATAAATTGCCTTCAGAAAACATAAAAAATTACTCCTTCTGGAAATTCAATGCTTCCAGGGCTTATGCAAAAGCATTGCGATCAATCTCAAGAAAGTAACAGTGGAAATCATCTCACCTAACTTTGGGTGTCCCAAGTGTAGACATATCTCTCTGTGCTACGTGACTTTGGAAATCTTAACAGTCAATTAGAGAGAAAAAGTACTTTCTGGATGAACTTTTATCATCCCAGCATGATAAGTCTTCTCATACAAAGATGGTATTGCAAGTAGATGTGGACTTTTCATGAAATCCTATTCGAAGTGTCTCAGTCTAATCAGAGTATTTTAAAAGAAGTCTTTAATCTGCACTGAAGGTGTATCAGCATTACATTTTATCTTGCAATGGTATTACAGACAACAGCTAATCCACATCTCTCTGAGGTCATTTAGTGTTAAAATGCTTTCTCAGGACAACCTGTCTAGTCAACTTGCCAGTTCAATCATCTTCCCTTCTTGGTCACTGATTTTCCCAGTGCCCGAGGAACTCACCAATGTATTATCTTCATTTGAAATATTTCTTTCCTAATGCACTTGCAAGCACATTAGCAAAGACAGCTTCTACATATCTTGTATCTGAAAGCTGGGTTTAGTAGACAATAAAAAGGAAAGCCTGTTCCATACTCTGAAAAACGGAATAAGTAATGAAAATTCACATTAATAAAACCGAGCAGCTGAACAAAATGCCGTCATCCTTAGCCCTCTTTCATCCAAAGATTGTGATCAAAGAAAATGTTAAATGGCTGATAGTAACATTGGTAAAAGTGATACTGTGGGAGCTTATGGCACTGCAGATGAGCTCACTTCAAAAGGGTTGTTGGAGACACAGCAGTATGCTTTCAAAAAACAGCCTCAAGTACCCCAGAAGCTAACACCTCCTCAGCTGTCATCTCCTGCAGGCTCAGCCCTCTAACCTGAACATGGGCACCTTCCTAAGGAAGTGGTTCCATGTGGAGTTCCCAGCTGCAAGAGTTTTTAAGAGAAGATTCCAGTTTGTTTTTACACAAGAATGTTATCTCTCTCCTTGTGCAACTCCAACACCTGTCTTTGAAAGATGGTTATGTTGGATCCTTTTCTGGGTGCTTTATGGCAGGTCTTGCGTAGACTTAACACATCTATAAGACTCCTAGTGTTTAGCTTTTATAGCATTTAAATGAAATAAATTATTCTTCAGTGCAGCTTCAGAAACATGTATCATGCGAGGACCTGTTTTGAGGGTATGTGAAGACTGAGGAGCAGTACAAACCATTTCCAAGCTGCCTCTAGTACTGCAGGGAGGCAGGACCCTGTATCTCAGGCAGTGTTCCCAGAACTTCAGCCATCTGCATGGTTCTTCATCTGACCATAGTCTGTTAAAATGTACCAGACTGAGTCATGAATAAATCAGGGTTTCACTCCAAAATAGATTATAATCACAAATCTCACAGCAGGGTGTTTTCTGATCCATCTCTGCCTCAGTGGTTGGTGCAATTTCTGCCTTTTTTTTAATAGAAAATTATTCAATATAAAATGAAGTGCATTGCTGGGTTAGTTATAGATGTAGGCTGGGTGGCAACCAAGATTGATTTGTTTGTCACTAGACCATTCTGGAAGATGTGAATAATGTATAAAAAACTCACATGATGGAATCAATTCTTATTCAGTTAATGAAAATGGCTTGAAGAAGTTGGTGTATTTGCATTAGACTATGTGGTGCCCTGCAAACCCAGCTCTGAGCTGACAACGGAAGAGCATTTAAAACATTTCTTGATAATCCTTCCATGTTACTTCTTGGAAGCTTTAAAGGCAGGTTTTTTTGGTAAGTGTATGCCAGTTGATAGCATATAATTTTTGATTGCTCATTAAGATGGTTATTAAGTATCTTGAAGTATAGATTTTCACTTTGTTTTCATGGTTATCAGTATGAAACATTCTCTTTGCAAAGTGCCTACTGTCCCAAGGCTAGCTTCATTTCAGCAGAGATTTTCTTGCATGAATCTCAAACCCTTTTCTTCAAAGGAGGTTTTCATGGTGCGATTTTTCTCAAATAAATCAATTTAAAACCTTAATTAGGAGGCAGAAACTTTTTCTTCCAGACAAACTTTTCATTTTTAAAAAAAAGAGCACCGAAGATATGATCAATGTCCAAATATCTTGCTATTCCTGAAATGTCAAGGACAATTATGTTTGGTTTTTTCCTAGTGTCAAATAGTTTTTAATATATATCTATATACATAAATATATATATTGAGAAAAACATGCAATTTGGGTTTGCAGAAGGAGAGTAGAGAATAAATGTTTCTATCCACCATAAACCACAGCAGATCCAGTGTCTGTGTTTTTCTGGAAAACCACAACTTAATCTGTTAGGCTTAGATCAGTATATATGTATATACATATATTCAGCATAGGGAATTCTGATGGCATGTCTAAAATTACTACATTTGCATCACTTCAGTGGGCAGAAGTTCACCAATTCTGCCTTTCCCCCGCAGCATTCACCTGCACTCTTCTTCCTCCTCCCCGTTCTTCTCCCCATCTCTGAATTTCATCCAAGGCAAATATGGACAGAGCAGTGCTTCTTCCAGCTTACCCTTTCTTTGCAATAACCTGTACAACCGATAGAAGTGAGGGTTTCTTCCAAAGTAAGGAATTCAGGGGCTGTGATTTTGCTGTGATTCCTCCTAATCTTCAACTTCTTCGAATGCCAAAACCTTTTACCTCTCACTAAATGCATGACTGCTTCTGAGAGCAATGCCAGTTGTTGGTCAGCAAACCGTGCAGATGGGAGAGCAAGAAACATTCTCCTTCTCTCTTCTCTGTCCTCAGCCCGAAAATGGGAGTCATTTTATGATAATACCAGCCACTCACATATCTCTCTTTACATATATGGCACCAGAGCTAAGTCAGTGGAACAGGTGTTCTTCTACCTGTGGACCTCATTGCAAGAGATCTGAGCAGCTCTTACACAAGTTTTACACAGTGGGATTTGAAAGGCTTTTCCTCTTTGTTGGACTGGGCTGTCAGAGAATGTAGCTAGTGGCATTGCATTGCTGTGTGATGAATATACCTTAAGAGTTCGTTTGTCAGCAGTGTTGTGTTGTTCCACCTCTCCCTGTCCCCAGCCTCCAAAAATTCCCCGACTCAACTAATAATAAATTGCACTTTATAGATGAATGAGTAAGAAACAGCTTAGCAGCAGGGAGTGTGAGCTTTGCTTTTGAAAATAATGAGGGGTTCTAATTTATAAACTGTTGCTGTGGCTGAGAAATCTTGTAACCCTTCAATCTCAAATTATTTATAGTTTTCTTCTACTTTTTGAAAGATATTTTCTGTTTTTTCTTTCACCTGAGGCTCAGGAGGGTTTTCCCACTGCTGCATCATTCAGTGTATGACAGGAAAAGGGCACGTTAGTTTCAAAACAGTGCTTTGTTTGGTGTAGAGTTTTTTGATAGAAAGGAATTTAGAACATTTATCCTGTCAGATCTATTTGAATAATTCCTAAAAGACTAGTAAAATTTGACCTTTCCTGCCAGTAATTATCATTGTCCTTGGTATTAACATAACAAATCTCTATTTGCATTTTTAAAATTGATTATAATTGTAACTTTTAAAAATTCAGGTGGTGGTCTTTGCACCCAAAAGCATCAGTGTGAATTTCCCAAAAATAAAATTTGTAGAATAAAACCCTCTTGAAATGATATTTATACAAAAATATAATTATGCTGGTTCATTATCTGAACTACAGGGGCACACATCTTATGACCTCATAACAATTTGATTCTTTTTATAGTCTCAGCTATGGTTTACTTATATATACTGCTAGATTTACTTTTTTTTTGGCAATGCATTTTAATGATATCTGCTTTCCAGTATACAAACTGTGCTTTGAAATATAAATGAGTTATGAACAAAGAAGTATCCCTAGCTGTACTGTGTGTGCTAAGGCAAGCCGTTAAGATGGATGCCAGTAAACAGATATGCCCACTTCTAGGAACATTTTCAATGGAAATTTTCCAGAGATGGCTAATTTAATTGTATTTTTGTGCAACAATTAGGAGGGAATTACGATAGTTCTTTCGACGCAGAGAAGGGAGTGGGCACTATTGTCATTGCAAAGCCCTTGGATGCAGAGCAGAGGTCAATGTATAATATGACTGTGGAGGTCACCGATGGAACAAACATTGCCACAACTCAGGTAGAATATCACATTTCTTTCTTGGCAAGTTATTCATTTGTTAGTGGAATGTATATGCTATAAAATTAATAATTTTTCCATTCAAGTACAACCTCTTCCTTTGAGACCACCGATAACTAACAGAGGGGATATTTTTCAGAGCCTTTCCATCTGACTGTAAAGAATCGGCTGTTGAAGGTTTCAAAGCTTTATTTCTCCCTTTGTTCTCTTCATGCTCACATGAAAGTAATTTGCGTTCCTCCAGCTGAGGGAGTCCCTATCATGAGCGGCAAAGTGTAGATTTTGACAATTGTGTCACCCCATAATGGTCCAAAATATAATAGTGCTTCTGTGGTATCGGGGAATATTACTATTGATTGTATGAAATGTAGTTTGTACGTCTCATCCTCCTAAGACCCAAATGTGGGACACAGGATCAATTGTTCAGAGAATAAATTGTTCAGAGGCAAAACTTAAAATTCAAAAGATCTCTCCTTTAGTGTCACCGCCTGCGATTACATTGTCTTCTGCAAAACAGCCCCACTGAACCTTTTAAAACCAGGCTTGCTTATCAGGCTCAGTGCCTCTTATCAATTAAAAAGTCAGGTCAGATAAACGTGAAGGGCTGGGGTAATGCTGGCCCTGACACATCCTTGTCAGAGAGACCCTGACACAGAGCCTGGGCTTCTGTTCACTAGGAACCAGTCTGGAGTTGGGGAATGGCCAGGGTCATGACACAGGAACAGGTTCTCTGAGGTCCAGATGACACCAGGAAGACTCCAAACAGCAAAATCCTTCAATATGAGGTAGAATTGTAGGTTATGAATTACTTAGGGCCTGAAGTCCTACGTCTGACTGACTGCCCAAGTGTAAAGGGTGACGGGCTTCTGTTCACTAGGAACCAGTCTGGAGTTGGGGAATGGCCAGGGTCATGACACAGGAACAGGTTCTCTGAGGTCCAGATGACACCAGGAAGACTCCAAACAGCAAAATCCTTCAATATGAGGTAGAATTGTAGGTTATGAATTACTTAGGGCCTGAAGTCCTACGTCTGACTGACTGCCCAAGTGTAAAGGGTGACTATAGCCTGAATTTGACATGTATGAAAAATGCATAGTGATAGAGGACACCTGTGCAGTGCCTCACATCCTAGATTGGATGTGGTTTAGAGAAAATGAAAGAAATAGGCTTGTGATATTGTTTGCTTCTTTATAATGCAGAAGGAAGGCCCAAACACTTGTTCTGTTTACATTTATGCATGCACACACAGATGCTTCTGTTTCACCTTGCATTTTTGCTCCAACTGTTCAGGTGTAAATCTGTATTCACTGAGGCACAACACTAACTTTTCTAAGAGATTGTTAAATCATTGAGTGTTTCTCAATCTGAATTCCCATTTATAACCATCCCTAAAATATCTGAATATCCCTATCTGATAATTTCTCCTGATAATCCAGTCCTAGTAGGAAAGCATTAGATGATAGTAAGTTTGGTGGTAGGAAATCCACTGTTTTCCCTATTAGTTTCAGAATTAATAGCATCTCTGCTAAAAGCATCTTGTATTTTGATCTTGATTATATCTGACCTGTATTCCCTGTTACGCCTTTCTCTGCTCAATTAAAGAACTCTTTAAAAACCACTGTTTTCTCCCCAGGAAGGCATTTACTCAGAATACTCAAATCACCTCCCAATCTTCCAGTAGACAAGTGAAGGAGAATGACTGACCTCTTTATGTTCCTTTTCCATAAGGCATTTTCTTCAACCCTTGAGTGTTTTGTTTTTTATGCTTTGTTTTTTAATCTCGGTGACACTCTTAGTCCACATTTCAGATGGTGTTGTATCCCTAGCATGATTTTTTTTTCTTGCAAACATTTCAGCCAAACAAATATTAAAAAGCATAGGGAATTTCAAGTATGCTGGAAGGCATAGGGAATTTCAAACATGCTGGATGCAAGTAATTTCTCTTCTCATGGATATTATGTTTATTGTTTCTGCTCCTTTTGATTTAATAAATTGACCCATATAACAGTCCTCAAAACCTATTTTTATGCAACCCCTACATTTTTAATTAAAACATATGGTAAAAACCTATTTCAGTAAAGCTGTTGCATTCTAAAGGAAGCCAGAGCATTCTTTGTAACTGTGATGTGACCTATTTAGGAATGTAAGATGGTTGTTTCAGATTGCAAAATTGTTTCACTATAGCATTAGATAGTCACTGGTGGATACAGGCCCGTCTTTGCTCCACCTCCTTCTCTCAATGTGGATACTGTTTAATTATTTAATTGTGGCCAGGGCTTCTGAGAATGCATTTCTTTTTGTCTTCACAACAGAGATTTCAAAAGCAATCATTATGTCCAAACTGCCAGAATTATAGCCTGCCTAATTATTGTTCCCTTTTACATAACTTTCCTACTGTATTTTTTGTTGTACTTTAGAGCCTTTGGTTACCTACCTCATCTTTATTTCCTTTTTGAACAGTAATAAAAAGCCAAACCGATAGGTTTAAGTAAAATATGTCATAGAAAGAGTCAAAAAAGCATATACTGGTGGCCCCCAGTGACCTTATTCTGAGTTTTGGTAAATTTTAAGTATTTTGTCTCATATCCGTAGTACCACCTGCATTTTTAACTTAGCTGCAGGAATATATGGTAGAAGGGGAAGTGGGTGGAAAGCAATTGTATAAATTCATCCCCTTGTATAACATTACAATAATATAAAGCCCTCCTCAAAATGTGATGGTTTATTATGAAACAGCTGATCACCACCATGCAAAATGGAACAGTCTTGCTTTTTATTCCAGCCCACCTGTTTTCCTTTATCTCTCCCTTGCCTTTTGTCTATTATACAGTTGGAGGTGGTAAAATCCAGCATGAAAATGCCAAAGATTTTTGTTTTGGTAACATGATCCCTGGCATGGACTTGTGGAAGTTACTTCAGCAATGTTCTTGCATGCTTTAAACTCCGATAAACTGTTCACTTCCTTCATGCCTTACTGCACACATGGTTCATTACTGTACCATGAGAGGAAGGAAATAATTTTGATTTAAAAGTTACATCTGTTGTAATAATGGTTCACTGCTGTGAAAAGAGGCAAAAAGAACACAAGGTATAATTTAAAAAAAATAAAATCACAAACTTCCTTTGTAACTGAAAGCCTATTTGGTTTGGCCATGATCAAGGTTTCCAAAAGGAACAGTCTCCAAATTGAGAACCAAATTGCCAGGACATGTTGAGCCACTGACACTGACCATGCTGCCTGTCCAGTTGAAACTCAGCCATCCTGGCAGCACAGCTGGGATAGGAAGGAACGGAGGAGGCAAAATATGAAGAAATGTTAACTCATTTGATTTATATATTTGAAGTGTGGCTGTCACATTGATTAACTACTAGGAAGGCAAGGTCTCCTGACTTTTTTCCTTTTCCTTTTTCCCATCATTACTCGAGGCCATGCAGTCATTTATTAAAGGCTGAACATGTACGTTTGCTCTAAATCCCCACAAAACACATTGTCTCCAGCTGCTGTCTGAGCTGTTGGCCTTGTGGAAGGGACAGGGCTTGGAGAGAACCAGGACAGATGCCCCACACAGTGACTCTGCTCCTTGCCATCACCTCACTTCAGGCTGCAAGAGAGTCTTTTGTCCTTGCTTGAGCAGAGAGGACTCTCCCAGCAAAACATTGGTGTAATGGCATCTATATGCCTACTCCTGTCACAATTCTGACTAACTTTGTCTGTGCAGCATTAGAAATGCTCCTAGTCTTGAGTCAGGTTTATTCCAAATCCTCCTTTCTTTTACTGAGCAACTCAGATCTTTTACATACAAGCAGAACATAGGACTAATGTTTATTTGCTTATTTGTAGTGCATACTGTCGAGTTTTGCTAAAATACCCACAGAAGTAGGTACAGTGGGGAGCAATCAAACAGTCACTTAAGTTATGTTAATGTTTCACTTTTATTGAGAGTGTTGTTCTAGTAGAACATTACCTTTTTTAAGAACAGCCTCCTGAAGTCATGGCATTATGTGTAAAAGACAGTTTTACTTCTTATTTTCCTGCCTTCTCCTTCTTTCTCATCATCCTAACTGTTATAACAAAGATGCTTTAAAGAGTGAAGGCTGATGGTTCCAAACTAGGAGGCAAAAAGCACCTCAGTTTCACTTATTGCAAAACCGTCTCACTATTTCCCAGTAGAGATCAATACATGGGCACTTATAATACCTTCAGCTGGAGCCAACCAGACTGGAAAAGCAAATGGAAAAAGTTACTTCTCCTTGTCCCTTTCTGTATCTCCTTGCAGAAAGTTGTGGACTTCTATTTATTCTTGTGCTCACGATTGACCTTGAAATGTGAGTTTGTCTCACCTTTCAGAGAACACCTTTTGTTTATAAAAGTTTCTTAACAAAGAGGAGCTGATTAATCACCCTGAGTGAGAGTGGTTCTTTTAACTGAATGGTGAAAAGCTGTTCTTAGAAGACCAGGGCCAAAATGTAGGTAAGACATCAGAGCCTGCAAGAAGCAGTTCTGGGCTGTGGATTCTTCTAGGGTAGATAAGGACACATGGGGTTTCAATTCAGTTTTTCACTATTGGTTAGTTGAATGTTTCCTCCAAACTATAACCAGCCCAATCCTTGATTTTTTTTTATGTCACATCCAGCAATCTCAGCACTGCTTTGTCTGTGAAACAAGGATTTTCCCTTCCATTTTAACATAACACAGGGGGCATGGTAAAATATAAATAACTGGCCACTGAAGTTGGTAGGGAAGCTGTTTGCATTTGTATGTTAAGTTTGGGGTTTGGAGGAGAGAAAAACTTGCCAGGAACTAGAAAATAAAGCTGTGTGGTAACACTATTGAAAGCAATATTAAATCAAAATAGGTTTCAAAACCTGTACAGAAGCATAACCTGAGTTTAAATAATTCAGGCACTTAATAGGTTGTACTACAACACTGTGCCCAGACCAAGCAATTAGCCAAGCAGATTCTTCCAGCTTTAAATGTCTCTAAAGCAGCTGCTGGCATTTATCCAGTTTCCATGCAAATACGTTTGTGCCTAAACGAAAGGTATTTGTGATGAGCAACATTAAAAACAGCTTTGAAGAGACTTCCTGCATTAGGTTTTGTCCTGCTTTGATTTGATTGTATTTCTCTAGGCCTTTCACTTACCATTTTGAGTACAAAGTCTTTGCTAATGCTCTGACTGTTACTTTGCCTAATTTGTAAACTTGGAGGCCCGTGAATCCTTTATTTGAAAGTTGCTTTAACTGTGGGAAATAGGAAGTGAGCAGGGAGAAGCAAATCTTTTATAGTGAGGCGCTTGCTCAGACTATAAATTAGGTGCCACACAATGGAAGCAGAAGGAGGCAAGCCTGCCTTTCTGAAGCCTGCCATGCACTGGAAAAGATATGAGCTTTCAAGGAGAATCAGGCAAAGTCTGCTTTGCTGCATGTTCGCTTTATGAGCGTGGAAAAAAAGACTTGCATCTACTGTTTGCCTATGAAAAGTAGTTCAGTCAGCTATCTTGCACAGTCCTCTGCAAAGAGGAATCTCTGCTTAGCAGCAAACAAATATTTGTATTCGTCACCTTTTGGAGATGTGTTGGGAAGCTTTTAAAGCCTGCCTTTGATTCTACACAATGGGTAGTTTAATGTCCCCGGCACCTATGCAGTAATAAGGGATATTTATGGAACAGCTCATTCTTGCCATATCTTCCATTTGGAAATATATATGTAGAAAGTATTAAATTGCACTGTGAGTCTTTGAGTCACTTCAGTAGGATAACACTTGATTTGGGGTGAAAGATGTGCTACCAGCTGTCTAAACCTTAAGACTTCAGGGAGCAGAGTGCCGAGCCTTTCGAAGTCAATGGGAAATTTGCCAGTAGTACCAAGATTGTACTAAGTTTGGCAGCCATTAAATTAATTTGACAAACATTCCTCATACTGACAACCTGGTGGCATTCAGCTTACTCAGCTTCACATATGTTTGTAGGATCAGTTTTTGTATGAGCCTGGTGTTCATGTCAGTGTCACATTTGTCTGTTATTAAAGGAAGAGGTTGCCCCCTCTTTGTAAGTAACACCTTGCTAGAAGTTATCCTGCTGGCACAGGAAATCTGCATAGGAAAGGTGTCATTTTAAGGTGACCTGACGTAACAGGGGTGCACAAAAATATACCTAAACTGTCTTCACAAGCTTTGCCACTGCACTTCTCCTGTGGCTTTGTTTAGTCATTTAACCTTGCTGCAAGGCAGTATTTTCCTGGACAAAGTATAGGGATAATAGTTTCTTGCTCCTCAAAAATGCTGTAAGGACTGAGGGACTAATACTTATTTAAAATGGAACTTAAATTCTATTTTATTTTACCTGATCTTGTTTCAAGTAACTCCCAAGACAGTTCAATTTTTAGGAACATTGAAGTGTTCCATTTGTGGGTTTAACAGAGCTCTGTATAATCAGCATTCCCATATATAATCTAACTTTCTTTTGTTGCAAGGAAAATGCACCCCCCTCTATTAAAGGAGAGACTGTAATGTAGAAATTACATTTGACTCTCAGGAATTTTGAGGGACAGCTGACAAAAATTAGAAATACTTTTAACTGCTTTAATAGAAGAAATTGTGAATCAATAATGACTTCTTTATTCATTAGCATCTCTAACCCACTGCCTTCCGTCTCCAGATGAAAGTGGCTGTTGAAGTGCAGAGGATGTAATAAATAATGTGTATTTCAATGTGGATCACTTGACAAATCATTAAAATGCTGTCATCTCTGGGGAGGAAGATGCCTACCACTTAAACAGGCACTTGATCAGTTTTATAGTACATGTGAAGTGAAAGAGGGAAAAGAAAAAAAACGAAAAATAAGTTCTTTTCTGGAAATGATCAAAGCAATTTTAGGTGCATAGCTCCCTGTAAGTTTGATGACCACAGTGAATGAGGACCTCAGTTGTTTTTTCTTTTCCCCTCTCCATACCTTCCACTCCCCCAAGCACTATCATGGTCCATGTGTGTGTCAGGGCATTAGCTTACCCCTTTTCCAGTGGGAAGAAATGCTGCTTTGTAAATCCATGCTGTTACTTCCATAGTCCCATGGGTTACCCTTGGTCTCTGATGCTGATCCAGTCCCACCCTGTTTAGTTTGTGCAGTCTAGTGAAGTCATAAATCACAGACCCATGGCTTGCACAGTCATAGTGCAAGCTTTGGGTAGATTAACCTTTATGCCCTCCTCTGCTTTCCCAGTTTGCCAGTGATCCCAAAATGCATTATATACAGTGGGAAGTGAGCCCCTGTACTGGGGTGATCGCACACCACGCAGACAAAATAGCACGTCACTTCCATAGCAGTAGCTTTAAGACACATTGGTGTGCATTTATTTATTTATTTTTCTTACAGAATAGCTTGAGCTCACACACACCAATGTTGAAAACAGATTCATCGATACAAACCTGTCCCTCACATGGAAGCTTATGTGTTCAAGGTAGGCTTTGCTGTACTAGCATCAGCAGAGTCAAACACACTTGGTGTTTTCAATCCACTTAAATAGTTTTTACTTCTCTATTAGACTATCTAAAATGGCACATGCATGGCCATAAATTAAAAGAAAAACAAATTGTCTATGTTAACCATGCAGCACTAAAGTAATCCAGCTATGTTACAGTGGTAACTGGAAAGGACTGAGGGTATCAAAACTGCTCAAGAAGACCTCTCTAAGTATTAAACACCGGCAATTAGCCCAAATTCATTTTGCTTCAGTGTCTCTTCCTTACACTAACAAAAGTGGTTCAGCACTAGCTCTATGTCCCATTAGAGTTGAAGTCTTTAATTTTTTCCTCAGGCATCATTTCATATGTTACAACTAATTTCTTCACGTATTTTTCAAATGCAGGTTTGGGTTTTTTTTTCCTTCAATCAGATCAGAAACATGCCTTGATATATTACATAGCAACAATAGAAGTATAAAACACTAAGTAATCCTTCATCATTATTATAGGCCCAGCAATGTGTATTTTCCCCCAGTTTTATTGCTATCTGTCCAAGACTGAAGCATAACTTAATATAGGCTTTGCCCTGCTTCACTCTGACGTACCATAATCTGGTGAAAATTAAATCATATGGTATGTGCAGTTGAAGTCTTATGCCGTTTAACTTAGAGAGCATTTTATTTCAGCTGTCTTTTAAACAGTTCTCAGGCTAGTTCATTATGACTGCTGCTTACAACTGCTCATGTTCCTTCTGGTAATGTATTCTGCAAACTCCTCCACATATCATGGAAATCTAAAGTTTCATTTCCCTCTGAGCCCAGCATCTGTTTGTGCAATACTGCAGAAAAAATATAGCTGTATTTTTCTTCTGTTAAGAAAGTATGGGTGAACAGTGCTTGATCAAGCAAAATAATAAAATATTGGCTTAAAAAAGAGCCAAGTACTTTTCAAAGCAACAAAGAAAATACCATGAATGATGAGTCAAGTCTTCTAGTCTTAGGAAAGAGTCCTGTGCATGGCCTTTCTCATGTCATTCATTGGACTATTTCTCATTTCAAAGCCTTTGAATAAAAAGATTGTTCCATTTCACTTTCAGTAAAATTAGATGTGTACTTTCACAGACATGTACTGAAAAAAATACTTTTTGTTTCCAGTATTGATAAAGAGTCAACTCTTCACATTTCATCTTTCAGTATCACGCAGCCTGTCAAGGATTTTGCTGCCACACTGCCCAAACTAAATTTTCTCCAGGGAGTGACTCCACCAGTGGTGGAAACCACAAAATGTCATCAGAGCCACACATGCATAATATAACTTGTGAAAGGCAAAGCTTGGAAAATAATGATCCTTTATTAGTTACCAGGGTCAGCTTGTGATATATTGAAATGGGTCTAATAGGCAGCAACAGCAGCACCCTGGGCTGTCTTCCCCCTCTCCAAGTTTAAGGATCAATACCAAGGTTTTAAAGACAGGCTTGAAGCAATCAGCACAGTGTTCATTCACATTTTTAGCAGTTCTACCATTCATAAACTATAACAGAAAGGAGGCAAATATGTGTTACAGGGGAAGGTGAATTAGCTGGCAATAAAGACAGCCATCACTGGCAAAGGAAAAGCAAGGATGAAACAAAAATATCATCCTTCTCTGTCACCAGTGCCCTGGGATTACCTGTCCTTGGTGGAGATTACTTGTCCTTGGTGGTATGTATTGATCTGTGTGGGGTGGGCTTGCATGGTTGTGAGGTTGTGTCTCCTGTTACCACCTCGTTGCAGACTAAGGTGTAACAGCAACTTAAAGTCTCCACTGCTGTCACAATTTGACATTGCTAGTGAGTCCCAATGCAATATATTGGGCAGAAAACAACACAGGATTCAGCTGAATCTTGTCTGTTTAAAAAGCAGATTTAAGTAACATGAAAAGCATTCTTCTATAGCCTTATTAATAGTGAAGGGGAAAGGTAATTCCATAATAGTTCTAGAAGTCTCCAGAGCAGTTACAAGGACCAACAAAATCTTTTCTATAATCATTGTAGCAATATTTTCCAATTTGTAAATACTGAAAATATGGACTTCTTTGTCAGGCTTTGTGTAGGCCTTACAACTAGAAACATTTTACCTCCAAAGTCAAATCCTAACTATTTCTTTTGATCTGAAGAGTAAGCACTTAATATTAAATAATGTTTCTCAGTCCCACCATTACAACAGCATAACATTATCATCCATCTAATGTATATTACATTTCTCTAGGCACTTATTCAGTAATCTGACTAAGCTTAAGTAACTTTGATGGTTTTTCTTTTATTAACTGTAGGTTCTTATCAAAGTTCTGGATAACAATGATAATGGCCCAGAATTCTCTCAGCCAAGTTATGATGTCACCATTTCAGAGGACATCCTCCCTGATACTGAAATTCTGCAAATTGAAGCTATAGACAGAGATGAAAAACATAAATTGAGCTACACTATTCACAGCAGCATTGATACAGTCAGCATGAGAAAATTCAGAATTGATCCCAGCACTGGGGTGCTCTATACGGCTGAGAGATTAGACCACGAAGCTCAAGATAAGCACATCCTTAATGTCATGGTAAGAATGCAATATTCACTTGGGTCAAGACACAATCACTGCTGCTTCAGGTACATACGTATCTTAGTCTTTGCATGAGCCAAGGACTCTTAGTGAAGTAAGTAGTCACTAGTTTCATCTTGTCTGCCCTGCTATGTATTTATTTTATAATTTTTATTTCAGCTTTTTGGGAAACTTTATTATGAATTCATTGTATGGAATATGATATGATTTGCTATCTCAAGGGAGAGCAAGCAGGAAATTATTTAATCTCTTAGCATCTGGTCCTCTCCCTCAAGGTAATTTTCAGACTTTCTGAAGTGAGGCTGAAAGTTATTTGAGAAGTTATTCACAGGGAGATAACTGCTTTCTTGCCATGGAGAATGCTACAGCCTTTCTGAATACAAGCCTCATTTATAGCTTACTTTTATGGACTTATTTCAGTACATTAACTGTTGATATACAAAATAGCTTTCTTTTATCTACATTTCCAAATCTTTGGGTATGCAGAAAGAAGTTTTTGGTGTGCCTAAACTACAGAACATAAGACTGTCTGTTTTCAGGTGAAGATTGTATATCACGGATGGGAGGTTCATTAAAAAAAATCTGTGTTAGTTTAAACACTGTAGTCCACTATTTTCTTTAACCATTTAAATCCTGTGGAAGATATCTTTGAAGGAACAACTCACGATGTGTTAAGTACAGGAGTGTCTTTGCCAGGGGATCCTAGGAAGCAGAGAGCTGCTATTAGATGCAGTGAGCAGGAGCTGAGTGGGATCTCAGCTCACAGAGTAAAAAGCTGCGAGTCCTTTGGGGAGCAGCCTAAGAAATAACTATAAACTGAATCACAGAGTGACATGGCTGACAGAGGTAATTTCCTAGTGCTTGCTTTTGATCTTCACCTGATACAGTAGGTTTTTTGCTCTACTTATGAAGAATTAAACTTTTTGGGATAGTGGTGGAAGGATTATCAGTGAAGCAGTGCTGAGGTATTCTGGATGGGGTTGAGACTGGTGTGAAAAATTACACTTCTGTTGGCAGTTATTGGCACTTCATGAGGTAATTCCTACTCTGTTTACTATTGGTATTATCTTCAAAAAGGTATGTACATATATAATGATGAAGAAGTCCATTGGCAGCTACAAGCACTAGAGTGACATGCCTCTATGTTATGAAGCAGGCAGCGGCAGGGCAAAGGCATGACCATTTAGCATGTGTTTAAAAAAAAGTATTTCTTGCAAACCTCAACCCAAATTTAAGATGTCACGTGGCTGCCACTTCAAAAATTCGTGCAATGATGGTTAGTTGCCATTCATTTTTTCACAAGTGAAGAAAGAGTCCCTAAGCTCTTTCCTGTTTCTTTAATTTTACTCTCTGCCATCATGTGTGTGAATGTATTTTAGACTGTTCTTTGTGACAAATGGATTTTTTAATTACTTTGTATTAAAGAGAACTGAAAGTAGTATTCACGTTCAGAAGTAGTATTCATACTATTTTTATTAGGTGAGTATCAAGGTGTGTATTATACACTTCTTCTATAGGTCCGAGATCAAGAATTCCCTTATAGAAGAAACCTGGCCAGAGTCATCATAAATGTGGAAGACTCCAATGACCACAGTCCATATTTTACCAGCCCGTTGTATGAAGCCTCAGTGTTTGAATCAGCAGCAGTTGGATCAGCAGTCTTGCAGGTCACAGCTTTGGACAAAGACAAAGGAGAAAATGCAGAGCTTATCTACACTATTGAAGCAGGTTAGTAATAAAATATTTGCATTATTGCTGACACACATGTAAATGAATGTAAGTTTCTCTGGCTGACGTGAATCTGAAGTTAAGAATTATCTCTTAGATAAAACATGAACAGATATACAAGAAGGGTGCCTGGAAAAAGAAAGGAGGAAATAGAAATTTGTAACCTTTGAATACTTTAATATTTTATTTGTACTTTGGGGGATTTTTATTAGTAGCATGAATCTTTTCATGGTAATAATAGCAAAACCTGAAACATATATTGCCCTAAAAAGAAGTCACAGATACTTCAGATTGTCCCCATGTTAAGCAGATTACGAGCCTTTCCCAAAATTAGACTCTGATTCTGTTGGATAATTATTTATCCATGTATTATTAAAAAGACTTGTCACTAGTTAGAATGGCTTACAGCAATTAGGAACAGGCTAAATGACAAAAGAAAATAATGAAATAAGAATATCTGTACCGTCTCATGCTGATTTAACTTCATATAACTTCAAGCTCACACCTTAAATTAAGATGATATAACCTGAAGCTTAGAGGAGACCCAAGGAACATTTTTTCTGTCATTATCCTGTATGCTCTGTGGAAGGAGAGTACCTTAAGCAAACCAAAAGGTGAAGTCTTTTGCGGCTAAAGGTATTGAACTTAGACTGACAGAGATGTTAGCACTCCAAAATAAATATTTCCTTTATGCACTGCATTTGGTCTCACCAGTCATTTCTCAGTGTTCTCCAGTGGTCTTTAACTTAGATCAGGGGAACATTTTGCACATGCCCAGGCATGAAAACAGTGTGCCTTATAGAACAAATTCTGAACAGACCAGATCAAGTTTCTGGGGCAATGTTTTTCAAGGCTGTTCCAATATAACTATTATGGGTTCCAACCCAATCATCTAGAGGTGCCACCACAATGTAAAGAGCAACCTAACATATTACGACTATGGCTCTTATTACACTAGTAACAGAAACTTACATGATGCAGACAGAAAAATACTGCAATTAGAAAAGATGCTTTAGCTATTAGATGGTTTCTGGAGACTCTGTTACATTATAGCCCGTTTCTGATTCATCATGAGCTTTCCCTGCAGTGTCAGACTTCAAACTTCCATTTACTCTAAGCCTCACACTCCCCCAGATTCATTATCCACAGATGTCCTAATCTCAGATGCATCAAAATTCAGTCTTCTGCCTCTGTAGTTTCTATAATCCATAAGATCTGCAGTTGAGGATATTGATTTTAACTGCAGAATTCAGACTGTACACAGCCCTTGCATTCGGGGGAATTACTCGTGTCATCTTACATGTGAAGAATGCAGTTGGTAAAGAAAGTAGTTTTTGTGTAATTTCATAAGAAATTCCTAAATGAGAAGAACCAACTCTGGCCTTACATGAGGCAGTCAGTGGCTAAAAATTGTATTAGCAAGAGCTGACAAAATAACAGCAGCAGCATTTTTGCTGTCTGTAAATGTGACAGATACTGTGATTTTTATGAGAATTTGTAGCTCTGGAAGTGTCTCAGCTCCTCGATGAATAGCACAGTTTTTTGTTTAGCTAGTAAACTGTACTGATCTGAAAGGATGGATATAAATAGAAAGCCACTACCAGTATTGAACTACATACAGTAATAAGTAGCTTAAATTAGCCTCCAAGCCCACATCTTAAAAATAGTTCACATTACCTCACTTCATTTAGAATTCCATGTATATGGCATTACAGCTACAACTTTCACATTTACTGCTCTGTGCACAGCACCTGTAACAATCACCATTAAAACAAAATCTCATGTTTATCACCTGAGATATATTTCTCTCCAGGTCATGGATGGATGCTTGATTGTAGATTAAGATGGGAATTACAATAGTGGGAACATGTTATAATAATTGGAATCGCTGTAACACAATACATGCTGTTTGTGTTTAGAATCAAATTCAGAAAAAGAGTCTGTATGCTTGTACATGCCATACACACACACAGCATCCTTTATTTTAAGCAGACACTCAAGGAAACAGCAAAATATGGATTGCCTAATAAAGGTGCTCTCTAATTACAGGGTAAGAATGCATATAAAAGGTTTTGAATCTGCCTTGCTAAAGAAGAGTCTGACAAAAAGACTAGAAAGAAATAAAGACCCAAAGAAGGTCTTAGATCCAAACTCACTGTTTTCACCTTTATGCAGTCATTGATATCCCTGATTTCATGTTATAACAGGCATTTCATGACATTTTCTGCTAAATCTCATTCATCTGGATTTGTCCTCCTCAGAGATCACAGGATAAACCTTTGTGCCACAAGACACTTGAATCTCTTTTCTATGCTATTTGCTCTGTTTTATTTTTCTAAATGCCACTTTAACCTTCTTATATTCAGTTCTTTGAGTCTTGAACTACAGTAATCTCCTCTATGGTTGCTTAATATCCCATTCAATTAAGAGCCTGAGTTGTTATCCATTAGTCATGTAATTGGCTTGTTAGCCTCTGATCTCGTTTCTTTGCCTTAGGTGTACATGTATTTGACTAATTCCCATAAT